ATAAATAGACATACAAAGTCCTTTTTAGGTATCGGCCAGATTTTGTCTTATGATCTTTTGGTTGTAATTTAGAGTAAAAAACCGCTAGGCAACGAAGTTTCATTTTAGAACGGAAAATCTTTTTAGCGTTTGCGTTAAATACATTTCTGCAATATTAAGTTTATTCTAGGATAAATAAATACCTGTCTTGGTGTACAATGAAATTAAAACTTGGCAACGCTTTAAAGCTATAACAGATAGCATTCTTGTAAAGCAAGTCGTGTTTCAATCCCATCTCGTCGCTGTGTGACGTTGCTTTAAGCTGCAAAGACTGGTAGAGGATATTGTGAAATGTTTTGCCCCCAGGCAGTAATGTAAATAAAAACAATATCCTGCAGTATATGATAGAATGGGATTTCACTATAACTGAAACGTGAAATAAATTAATAGGACGTATATGATCTTTAATTATCTGATAAAAAAATCAATACTTTGATTCGACCTTGATAGACTTATTAATCGCTTCATGATAGTCAGAAAAAATAAACAAAGTGACAAATGACTCATTTAATGTATAATAGATATCATCTATATATAAATGAATCCCCATATTTCTGTCACGTCATAATGTGAGAATGAAAACCGATTTCATTCATCTTTATTTTAGTCTCTATTCATAGTCTTCTGGCATAGCTTTCTTAACTTTTAGAAACTAAAGCAAGAGTACGCGATATCAAGTCGATTTTAACCATCTGCGTTTGACAGTTCGGATATTTGATGACAATAAGTTCACCCATTCAAAGTAGACCTTTGTAATGTATAATCAGTTATTAGTTTAGAGTTGAGATGACGTTTCCACTAGTTAATTGATTTTTATTAATCGGATCTTTTTTAATTTAAAGTTATAACTAACTAAGTTTTTTTTCTAATTAACTAATCTATACCCCGTAATTTTTTTAAATCAAAATTTATTTAATTCAGAATTGTGATTTAATTTTATGGATGATAATGGAATGGTGCCTGTGCACCGCTTGTGCTATCTGTTTACGCTGGCGGGGATTTACGCTCATCGTATCATTCTTCACTGGCGAGGGATGATAAGATGACCTTGAAGTCAGTTAGCTCAACATGACATATTAACCAGGAATTTATTACGACTGTTCCCGGGGGAAACCCATAGAGAATTTGCTAGCAATAGGGTCAACAGTCCATATGCCTAACAATCTCGTTCCACCAAATAGTCACTTATTAAGTTTTGTAATCAGTATCTCGTCAGTTTATTTTTCTTCTGTCGAAGCTGATTTATCTTTACTATCATTAAGCACTGTGTAAGGCAAGTCCATCATGCTCCAATCAAACAAACCTTAAACAGGTCATTATAATGACCTAGTAAGAACTGCAGTGATTTATAATTTGAGATGAGGGTGTGTACACATCAAATTTGAAATTATAGGAAACATTGTATTTGCTGTGGAATTATACTTTTTTATTAGATAAATAAAATATCCAAAATAAAATAGTCAAAGTAACTCATCTGCGAGTAAAAGTTCTATCAAAACCCGACCGACAGACGATAGACAGCCAGACCTTCAAAAATATTATGTACTTTTTTCACGTAATTAATTTTATTCGTACATTTAGTAAAATGTTTGATCGATAATTATAAATTACAAAGGAGAATTTAAATTTTATTTATTTCTATAGATGTATAGATTATGAATGTTTCTGAGGAGATATCTATTTTATATATATTTTTAACTGAATCTCTGATGAAGGAAACAATTATTTATTTATTTATATAACTTCAACACACATAATACCATGAAAACAATACATATAGCTTAACACCTCATGGCAGATTGATATCAAACCAAAAACAATCGTGAAGGCCTGTATCTTTATCTATACTAATATAGAACTGAAGAGTTATGTTTGTTTATTTCGTTTGACGAGCTGATGCAAATAAAATTTCACGCGGTACGAGTCAGCAATCCCACCATATGATTTTGATAATATATGTGATTTGTATTATTTATACGCTTAGATTCATTTAAACGACATATCGTTATGTATATTGTATTTCTAGTAACAGATTTTATCCTCTAAATAAATATATCACTGGACAATTAACACTGCACCATCTAGTCGCATGGTAAGCAGAGCTTGTGTTCTGGGTACTAGACAACTAATATAAATACTTACATATTTTTTTTGTAAATACATACATATATAATACAAATAGAATACACCCAGACCGTTACAAACAATCTGTACGAGACATAAAAATTCACTTCGCATTCATTTGTTTTATGAACAAAAATATTATTAGAGAGATGTGAAAATACCATCATGGCGTTTCATTTATCTCCACAAATATTCAACTATGATTTATACAGAATCATATGCAAACAAATGTTGGCACTGTGCGAGGAATCGAACCCGCGACCAAGCAGTCTGATAAACCGCTAGACCACCGAGGCCGTCATTACTTTATTGCACTTGTAACATAGAAAATAAAGATAATTATACAAAAATGTAAACAAATGTGGGTTTATCTCTGAAAGAGATCTCTTCCATGCAACCTAATGCTGTGATAGAGGTGGTAGTTAGCGCATAAGGATCCTCGAGTTTTGTAAAAACATAATTAGTAAAGAATGCCTTGAATGAATAGAATAAAATAAATAAATCTTTATTCAAATAAACTTAGATTCAAACACGTTTGAATAGTTATCTTATTTTTTTTAATGTGCAGTTCATTCGGAGATCTGTCAATTTTGTTATTTTATCAAGCTAAAAGCCCGTATTAAATATTATAAATTTAAAAGTATTAGATATTTGCAGTATTATTTGTTAAAAAAAACTATACGTTAGGTAAAATCAACCCATTCACTACTGTATGGGCTATGTGTATTCCAAACGTATCTTTACGCTTTTTAACCCCTTTTATAGTAGCCTAGTATTTGCATTATCAAACTACTAATCTACAAATAATTATTTAAAAGCACTCGGTTCGTAAGCACGAAACCCCATACAGGATACTAGCAATTATAAGCCTTTGACCTCGTTATTCAATTTTATTCTTTAATGTTATAATAATAGGATTTTATTGTAAAATGTACTATGGGTCAACTTATGTTGGTCAGATGGTACCGTTTCGGAAACCATTGTTCCCAGTACTTCAGTAACCTTGGGTGGGTTGTTGAACCCATGGAAAAGGGAAAGAAATAATAGTTCTATCTCTGCTTAATTAAACTGCCACCTCTATATAGAGTTTGGGTGATATTTTGTTTCAACAGGAAATAGTATAAATTGTGGCTTATACTCTATTTTATAGTGACCAAAATATACCAAGTAACGCTCGGCTTATCAATATTAAAACACTTGTGTATATTTTAGAGCTAGATACGCAGACAATTTCTAACGTAAAAGTCATGTGCGTGGGTACATTCGTACCATACAATTTTGCAAATATGATCTTGTTCTCAAACTTTAATACGATGCTAATATTAAAGTATGTCCCAGGCCTCTTTTCGCATTTGTATGGTAAACGTATTACTATGAATTTTTTTTACAATAACTATTTATACTTTTTATTGATTCGACTCGAATTTGCCCATAGTATAAAGACAACTAATATCAATATTTCACATTCGTTAGATTTTCTGTAAACAATTTTATTATACAATTTCTGTAATTAAAAAACTTGATTGGTGATTGATGAAGTGGTCTAGCGGTTTAGCATACCGCTTTACGTCCGCGGGTTCAATTCCTCACACGGCACAAACCATTGTATCCATGAGTATGATTGTTTGTATCGGTCTGGATGTTTTCTATGTATAATATGTATATATTTAAGAAAAAATAAAATATCTATGTATTTGTATCAGTTATCTAGTTACCTATAAGGCAAACTTTAGCTAGCTTAACTTGGGTATAGATGGCGCTGTGTGAATTGTCCTGGGAATATTATTATTATTATTATAAATTTCATATAATGCTCATTCGTATAAATAATCCAAGACAATATACAAATTTGAAAATATGTGCAAGACACTGAAATTATTATGAATTTACAGAATAACGAAAAGAATACAATTATATTTATGCAATAATGGAGTAAGCCGATTAGAGCGGGACGAAAATATTTATGGCAAAATTTCAATTGAAAATATTGTTAGGAGACGCAAAGTCTCAAGGAATATAGATAAAACGAAAACTAATGAAATACCTTCATCGTAATTTTATTGCGTGGACATACTCAATAAAAGGTGGCGCAATGAAATTACAGGGTATCGAGGTTTAAGAACTTATTTCTAGGTATCGAATTTAAATATATTTATATATACGAGTATTATATAGATATGAATTAATTTGTTACAAATGTTTTTTCTTTTTTTTTACTTATATTAAAATTTGAGCGCGTTTGACCGCAATCTCACCTGATTTTAAGTGATGATGCGGTCTGATGTGACCTTGTATATGTATCCTGTAATCTTTTTTTTTAATAAATATCTGACCTCAGAGTTATCCTGTCATCCTCAACTGGTATACCACTAACGTAGACAAGTGCACCATTCCATTATCCATACAAAAAAAAACTATTATATTCAATAGAATACCCTCCTCCCTCCTCTATGGGGAATACCCTCGCAGCATCTATCCGTAAAATCTTTCGCTATCCAGCGGTTTAGCACTTTACTTCCTATGACTATAGATTTGGTTCCGGCAGGTTATGAGTACAATTGTATTGTCATTGTCCTGTATTGGTCTAGTTACCGTAACACAAACTCTACTTAGCTTAAGACTAGATGGCATGTGAATTGTCAAGGGATATTTTTATTACAATATTCCAGATGGATATAGGATACACATTTTATCTATTAATCAAAACGTCCAAAGTCGGAAACAGTGCCCAGACATTAAACAAAGCAAAGTGCGTAGAATTCCCTAAGCGTGAAATTTGCTGCGAAATCACGTTCTAAATAACCTTATTACTTGTTTAAACACAATACCTTTTGCAGACATGCTACGAGATGGCGCGGTACCTCCGGGAGGAGCCGAGGAAGAGGAGGGATCCCCCTCAGGAGGAGGAATGGGCAAGATCCGCGACCTCGTCTCCTCCGTCACCTCCATCTCCGAGGCTGTTTACCATCACGGCGGTGAAGAGCGAACCACCAAGCGATTGCGACGAGCCTGAAATCAGGGGTAAGCCATTATTATATTATGGGCCTTAATTACTAACAATTATGAATTATTACGTTTAACTTCAGCATTTGGAATTATGTACGGACCATTTACCAGTTGCATTTGCGTAGCGTACAACTTAGCTCGTATACACGCAAATCAAATAGTTCATAGAAAATTGCAGAACTGTTTTTTTTTATTTGTAGAGCTGAGGATTGTTAATACCTTCGTTAAGTAACTGGACCTCTGCTCGACTTAGGTTCTTTTTTAGTAAACATTTGTAGGTTGTGTTTAGAAACGGCACCTACTGTTGTAGGTGTCGTTTAGGATATTATAAACTTAATTAGTAGGAAAATTATACCTGTTGTCAATTTTTTTCCAGTCCCAATTATAGGAAGCTCTAATTTTGTTAATATTAAATACCTCCCATGACAGAAATAAAAAATTGGGTAATTATTTCATATGTTAATTTCATTCATAACGATCATAAGTCAATTATTTATTTATTACAGTATACTGTAATAAATAAATATCTATATTTATAAATATAATTCTATATTTATAATAGATATTTAGTACAAAAAAACTTTATAGTTCTTAAAATTTGAGTTATAGTCTGTCAGTTAAAATATATTTTAAAAGGCACTATAATTATTCATTATTCCACAATAGTATTTATATCATCTGAATTTTTACATTCCTTATTGTTTACATACTACCACTATAGAAAATATTTGCTTATTACGCCTCCTCTTCAGTTATTATTTTTAATGGCATATTCCTGTGTTGGTGACTCACTAATTGACAATTATACAATTCAATTAAGGGACAGGCGAGACCTAGATTTGAATAGACGTCAGGCAACACCCAGTTAGCATGACCCCATCTGTCCCAAATAGACCTCGGTTTCTAGATATATTTCGATATCAGACATATTCGGCGAAGTAAATTTAGATTAATATAGGTCTATAGGGTTAGTCTGAATAACTAATAGAATAACGAAAAGCTTTCCTAAAGAAGTAGGGTTGAAAATTTGAAATAAAAGTTTTGTTATCGTTGTACATAAACTTGTTAATGACATAACTACATTAAATTAGTAATAATGTCCAATTCTCAAGTGTAACTGTAAAAATTCTAAATGTTTTTTGTTAGTGTTGTGCCTTTAGTTGTTTGTTGTTGTGCGTTTTTCGGTATATGCCTTATACCCTTTACAATACACTACAAATTAACTTTAAAATAGGACTAATATTACAAAATAATATAAATGAAGTATCGAAGTACTATCTTCAAATCGGTGAAACAATTTTGATGTAATTATTTATTTGAAATCATCACTTTCTATGAATATTAATAATAATATTTATAAATAGTACACGATAATTTGGAAATGAAAAATGGAGTTAATAAAATAAAATAGTAATTATTTAACGTAGTTTTATAATTAGTATTTAACAAACTCTTGGAATGAGTATTCACATAAAAAAATAGCTAAATGTATTTTATTTATCATTTTTAACGAAAACACATTTAAAACGCTGCTAGTGAACTTTCAGAATAATAGACATGAACATTGCTAAATTAAGTTAATTAATAGTAGCAGACAGCTCATTAAAATTCATACAAAGCAAACGACTACGTTATTTCTCTGCGAAATGTTGCAGCACATTTATGGAGTTAAATTCACAAAGTTAACAAATTAGCTTATTATTTTATATTTAACAACTGAAGGCCGCAGGTCGTTTAATATCAAACAAGCTTTGTTATTGACCGTCCAAATATATTTACTTTGTCGGTGTACATTCACTTGCACTGTCAATGCATTCTGCATTTTAGTTACAAAATGCACCATAAATTTTGGTTACATTAAATTTATCTCTATTTAAAAGAGAATAATTTTAATTTAATTATGTTTATTTTTATGTATACATAGATAGAAGGTGTATGAAGTCGTCTGTTTATTTTGTTTACCTATTCCAGCTGAGAGATAGCTTGCTTTATGAGCTGCATTTTATTTAAAAGAAGATATAAATACAGGCTAAAAGACGTGACATGTTAATCCTTCTAATTACAAGCCGTGAGCTTCTAATTACCAAAAATAACAGTTTGCATTATAGAAGTATAAGCATAGATAACGTAAAAGATAGTAATGGTACTATTACTCATATTTGTGAACTCAGCTGCTTATGGGGATTGGTCTGTTTGGGTTGCAAACACTGATTGACTGCCTGACTATTTGCTTTTACAATAGCATATGCTGGTGTCACTCTATTCTGCCAAGATTGAATTTAAAAATTAATCTGTATTATTGTAAACATGTATAATATTAATTTGAAAAGAATACGAGCTGAGTTCCTTATCAGTTGTTCTCGTCTTGAAATTATTCTGAACTGTAGATTTGACATATCATAAGAGTCTGTAATAGACCTACATGAATAAAGATGAGAAAAATATTTTGAATTTGAATTTGAATTAATGATACAAAAACTGCATCAAGCAACCGACACAGTGACGGAACGTGATAACATTATGCGCGAGCGCAGTGAGTCACAAATTTGTAACAGTCAACTGGTCGAGCAGTAGATTGACGAGCGGTGTATGAAATGATTCGTATGAAAGATAGGTAAAATGAAATAATGAATGGACTAATGTTTGGAGGAAGGGATGAAAGACGAAAATCAATGAATGGAAAACAGGTACGGTTGTAATCGATTCTAATGCGATGTTTGGGGGTGCTATACGTTACATTCATTTATTACAAATGTTTATATGTATACAAGGGGGATGGTCATTGTTGCAAACTATTTTTATATATTTATGATTTTTTATAATATTATATTGTTTTTATATGATATAAGTCAATTAAATACAAAAATATTCTACGACTACAACGGTGCCGTTTTACTTTTGCTCGTCATCTTGGTCTCCATCTTTCACAGTCATTGTCCGACATGATATAAAAAAAAAAGCAGAAAATAGTTGATTTGTAAAAAATATCATTAAAGCTACCATCGTTTTTGTACGGAATATTTTTTCGGCATTTTGTTAATTTTACATTAAAGCATAGAAGTAAAACTCCTGTCAAAGGAAACGGCACATTAAACTGAAATAAATATAATTAAAAATATGTTACTTATTAAAATGTAAAACGGTCACTTGATAATATTGTTACTTAAGTAAGACATCTGACAGTGTTACAATAGAAATAGCTAAGACTGAGCTAACATGTTCACTATTGTGATCCTAAGTTCTTAAATAAATAAAGAGACGTGGCTATTTGTAGAAGAGTTAAGAGTTACTTTTCTGAACACAATCAGTCCAGACTTTAGCTACACAGTTGTTTCAGCTATGAATGCGGAAGAGGCAATTTTAGAAGCGGCTTTGCTGTGGAGGTGTTTGTTTCAAGTATGGAAGTGATTGAGTGCATTAATTTGCGTATTTCAAGCAATATATTTATTACTTATCGTAATTTTTAGTATTTTGTGTGTACTTGTAGTCAATTTAGTGGATTTCACAGATTTATTTCGCGCAGTGAGAGCAGTAATAAACAGTTATAACGCAGACGGCATGCATATGTACGTTAAGTGATAGCTCATCCACAGGATGATTTACCATAAACTTGTGGTAAATCATTCTATGGATGATCTGAGAGGTAATGTAATGTTATTAATATGTTATATTATCTACCAACTACACGCTTGTAAGTGACGCTAGTGGGACGATAAGATGTCTTGCTCATTGTTTAGTAACTAACACCGCGATAAATAACGATATTTATGATATTTTTCGGTCAGATCATTATCGTTTAGTTATAAATGCAATTAGAACGCAATATTACCTATTAAATTGTCTAAATTGTATAATTCTATCCAGGTATGAGGAGAAGGAATGAATGAATAGGCATCTATTAAAAGAGAGTTAATGATAAGTCGAGACGTATCGATTTTCCAGCGGAATTTTGCAGGTGTACCGATAAGATGTTTTAAGATTCTAGTTATAGAATTATTATAAATAATTTCTATAAAGATATTGTCCTGGTCTTTCTGGATATTGGTCTACTGATGATGTGTTAGCGATAACAGTATGGTGAAGGTACGTGTACGACATAGAGCTGCTAGTGCGTCTGTATATGGCTTAAGAAAGCTTGTCAACAAATGTGAAGAATACGGTATATTAATAGTGTATAGTAAAAAAGTCAGATTATTAGTCAGTAACTGACCTGGTATAGTGCCATTAATTAAAATTAAGGTCTTGCAACGGCTATACAAAATTAAGTATTTTGATCATATGTTAACTCCTGGCTTTGATTATAATGAACGCAGGTTACTGTCTGTATGAGAGAGCATATTGGCTCGCTGGTTTGCATGCTGTTCACCTTAAATTGCTTACAGTCTGATAATGCTTTGCCCCGTTAATAATGCTGTTGCCCCGTTAATAATGCTGTTGCCCCGCTTCTGTGGTACATGATGTACTTCTGTGGTACATGGCCACGGTACTGACTGCTTTAAAGCGACAATGCGCAAGAGGTGCGCCTCCCTACTGCGCAGGATGCGAGGGAGCATTAATATTCTGGGCAATATCACTGACAGATTGGATCATGAACCATTGCTGCACCTTGTCTGGCGGAACTGTGCAGCAATGTTTCGAATAGTTCAGTTTGATTTTTCTCATTATATTTCATTTAAAGTAAATGTTTCTTATAACAGCTACAAGAAAAGCTTACAATAACCTACAAGAAAATTATTACTACTAAAAATGTTCTGAAATTAAATAAATAAAATTTATTATAGTAAAAAATGTTAAGTCATTGTTGTTGTAAAATCTTTATAATTTATACATAATATACATTTAACTCTCAAAGAAGGCTCAATATACAATAGAATTTATCCCATTGAAGGATCACTTCAACTCTCCTTTGAGGGTTTAACAGAAATCAATAAAATACCCAATCATTTCCAAGAAATGTCTTTCGGAATACATTTCTTTATACTGTTGTCGCTACTCATCCGTTCCCATTTATAATAAAAAAGTAACTAATTTAATTTGTAAATGTAAGATAAATAGAAAAATCTCTTATGATAGATGAATTTATAGATGATAGCAATATATAGCAAGAATAAGTTTATTTGCGGACAACGTTATAATTTTAATTTTCATACTGCTTTCTTGATATATGATAGCGTAGCGGCTTTTGTATTGATTGCCGCATGCATCCTTATGTAAAGTGCGAATACTGTAACTACCATATAGTAATTTTTGTAGCTGTGACGTGGTCGTGTGGAATGAGTAGTCAGGCTCACTAAAATGTCCAGACTTGTGGCGGCGTGGTGGGCCGGGTCAATGGGTTCCCTAAAATATGGTCGAGCGTGTGATGGCTGGCTCATCCGTCATACTCGTGAACGAGTGCTGCTTGTAGGGACTGGTCTGCTCTTATCACTACGACTGATCTAATCTTATTGCATATTTATATTTGACCCAAAAAATTAGTGTTTGTTGGTAGTTTGTATTCACACGTTTCGACTTGTAAATGTAAACTTACAAGGATTATTTAAAAGAGCAACACACAAGTTTCTTGCTCGTTCTTCTTGTGATGAGACAGCTTTCCGAACGAGTGGTAGATAAAAAACAAATTGTTATGACTATTCAAAAGTGATTAAATTAAGTTTATTTGAATAAATGATTTTCTATTCTATTCTATTCTATTCTTATTGGGATACTTTATGTGTATATATAATAGAACTCATAACAATTAATCTTTTGTCTGTTTGTTTGTTCTAATATAACCTAGGTAATGACTTAAACAACTTACTAATACATTGTCTACTTCGCTTAATGTTTTGGGTACGATTTTGTTAAATTAACTGTTCAAGGGATCGTACGTGGCGACGCTTGCTTTCCTATATATGATCTGCATCATATACGTGGCATCTGCACATGGGTTGTCATTTTGGTATTGGAGAACTGGGATGTCATGTCTAGACCATGTAATTCACTCACACATTTAAACTAAAACACATTACAAACCTTCAAATAATCATCATGATTAAATTACCTTCATTACATTTTTTGGGGTCGACGCAGATTCATCTTCTTCCACTAATCTTAATCTGTCATCAAAGCTTACTCTCCTTTTAAACATATAGTCTTTCACACAATCCTTTTCTTACAAATGACTGCTAAAAATGTAAGATAAATATACTAACGACGACTTTGTATAAACTGTATGTCGGTACTTGAATGGTAGAATGGTACTAATAATATTCAAGCAAGATTTATACTTATAGAAGACTCGTACAGATAACCGTTATTTCTAATTTTCTTGCATGATTAATTCCGGATGCAATAACCGCTCAGATCTTGCTAAACCTGTCTCTTCCAGGATATACTATCCAGGACACTGGTCTATAATGTGACACTTCGCTAAGTAGTTCGATATATTGTTATTTTATACCACTTACCCGTCCGTGGTTCACACGAGTGTACATATTATACATACAAACCTTCCTCTTGAATCCCTCTATTGCTAAATACTGCATTTACATCCGTTGCGTAGTTTAAAAGATTTAACCTACGCAACGGATGTAAATGCAGTAACGGAAGCGACTTAATTATATCCTAAGCAAAGATTATATGTCATCCGCGCAACATATTCTGCATTACATTTCCCCCGCTTCCGTTGACTTTTCATTGCTGCTTCGTTCCTATTAGAGCTAGGATTTAGCGTGAGGTTATATCGGCTATAGCTTACCTCGATAAGGCTATCCAACATTAAAGGATTTTTCAATATCGGATAAGTAGTAGTACCGGAGATTTAGATTAAAACCCGAACATTGAAATAAAAACTTCATCTCTTTATAATATTTGTATACTCCGATGCAATATTTGTAACAAATTATTTATTTCGGATTTAACTTTTTTCTTTGTCTATAATATAGCTTTCAATTTAATGTTGCTTTAGTAGGTATATTATAAATAATTGAAATAATATTATGTGACTATTGCAATTTTGCTAATATAAATTTTATTTATATTTAATTGGTAATATCGTATAATGTATAAAAACGAAACACTCACCTTCCATTTATAATTTTATATCATTAGTTAGTGTTGGTTTACGAATTCTTTTAAAGTAATATATAATATAATAGAGAGTGGACTGTATTTATTAAACAGAAAATAATTAATGGAAAAGGCAGCAGAAATACGATTTCGACGTGGAAGAACGTTTTTTCCACATTCCGAACATCCCAAAGTAAGTAATGTAACAAACACCAAACTTCTCACCTTTGCTCCGGAACGTCCCGATGTGTAGTACTGTTTAGTGGCCACACACTCTAGAGTGTATATTTACATAAAAAAAAATATGATGTTGAATAAATTATTAATTATCTTATTTTATATAGTTAAAAATACGTACGAGCGTCCTTTTTATTCCAGTTCTTATTTTCAATTGTTTTATATTCTTTTTTCAAAATTTAAGTGGCCAGATGTATTTATTTGTGGCCAGTATTACCAAGCGTCCTTTGCTTCAGCAAGCAAGCCGGTGATATAACCTGCTTAGACTAAGGAGGGTCGGAATACGGAACAATCAGCATGTTAGTAGTATGTCTAAATATTTTATATATATGTCCCAATTAGTATTTTCAAGAGGATTTAAGTCATCAATTTATATACATTGGATATAATAATGTTATGTTTCGTGTTATCACCATACATATCGGACTCAATCATGCTACATTGTTTTTAGAAATAAATACATAGTTCCATATTCACCTACATTTTGGGCATGCAAATTTAAATTAAAGATAATAAATTTATAAGTTTAACAAAAATGAATAATTAATATTTATCATATATAATTATTCCGAATAATATATATTTCCAAAATATGTATGTCAGAATAAAATTTATTTCCAAATTTGAGTGTGAAATTAAAATTATATGTAACAGCTAGTTACATATAATTCCGGCGACTTCGTCCGCGTGGAATTTAGCTTTAGTTTTAAAATAAAAGAATTTTACTTATTACATCAGCTACCTGCCAAAATAGTCCAGTCAAAATCGGTCCGGCCATTTCATAAATTAGCCGGAACAAATAGACAGACAAAAATTGCAAATAATGATATTTTGGAATATGTTCCGTATTTACATTCATATACATGTAGTAAAAAACGGTTATTTCAATATTACAAACAGACACTCCAATTTTATTTATATGTAGGTATAGATAATAGCAATTTCTAAATTCTTGTATACCCAATACTATTATCTATTCTAGACTATACCCGTACACTTTCCTTTCAATGTTAAATGAATCTATTCATCATGGTACGTCGCTCCCACGAACACTTACCCTCACTATTAACCGTGATGATACGTCCGTGGGAATGTTATAGATTTAATAAGAGACAACCATAATGGTTTATAAACTATAACCTTATAAGGTAAACAGCAGGTAACCGTGGTGATATACGTACTAGTTAATTTCACTTAATTGAGTATGATATGTGAATTATGTGGTAACACAGTAGGAATATAGGTAATAGGTAGGTTACGTTCTCAGGTTTTTAAATACGATCAAATCCATAAACAGTATAATGCAATTTCACTGTATTCGTGACTGCTTATTCAGTTACGTCTATACACGCAACCGATTAAAAAAGAAAGAAATATATAATATTTATTCATCACTTACAATTCAAATAAAATCTTGTATTATATTGCATATTGTAACATCAATTATAACTATAAGCAAATTGCAATAAAGAAAAGTAAGAAAACTCACTCGGTGTTTACCGCAAAAAAAGAACAGCCGCTTCGTAGTCTGTGGTCACGACGCCACTACAGACGATATTGACGCTTTATCCAATTATTGGAAGTTTATTAAACAATTTATTGCGTTACAAGTCATTATCACCTACAGCAGAGTTGTAGTTTTATATCCAGTTGGGTTATTATTGCAATTGTGTATTTATTGTACCAATAACACAGAATTTGCTTAGCTTGGGACTCGGTGGAGCTGTGGGAATTGTTCAGGGATAATGAATTAAAAATTCGTCTATTCCATTCTCCTCCTCCTTCTCTTATTGACATTTCTCATGTATTTTTGGATGGTGTACTTTCAGACTTACCACCATCACCCCCGCCGCCGGTGCGTCGCCCGAACCCTCCGCGCCAACATGCGCTGCCGCACGCCGCAGATCCTAGGCGGCGCGTGCACCGCTGCGAGTTCCCGGCCTGCGATAAGGTCTACACCAAGAGCTCGCACCTTAAGGCGCACAAACGGACTCATACAGGTCAGTGCCAGTACAGGAAATGCTCACCCGGCGGGGAAAGGATTCTTACGCATGGACTGGTGGCTCATTTGCTAACTACCCTATAGGTTTGACTTCCACTCAGTTCTAACTAGAAACCATCGTTAATTCCCTGATTCCCTGGGCTAATTTCCCTGACTGCATTGTGCCATCAACAATAAGACTAAAATGTTATACCTCCGTACCTAGTAAATTCACGGTCATAACTGCTTTTCATTCAAACCGAAACACAACTTGCAACGTAAGCTACTTAGCGAAAAAAGTATATGAGGAAAAAAATTATATAATCCAATAGGCTCGCAATAAACAATTCTCTTTACTGCTCGCCTTCTTACAATTTTGGTCAATTGAATTGTTCTGTTATTCTTTCATCTTCTTTTAGACGTTCCCTGTAAATGTGGTGGGAAACAATTTCAATGTCGGTTAATGAGAATGGTCCCCTTTATGCGGGCGTTAAATCAGACATATCAGGTCTATCCCATGCCCTGACGAACAAAACAATGATACCCCGCTCTATTTAATGCTTATATATTATTGTAGAAGTTAATTAGGTACTGCATTACCCTGTCACTAAGGAAACATCGCACGACAGAATTATAATGAAACGAAGAAAGGAACTCAGAAATATAATAATAAATCTAAGAGAATCTAGATTAATTCGCATTGTTTAAATATCAGTTCCGAACGAGTGGTAGATAAAAAACAAATTGTTATGACTATTCAAAAGTGCTTAAATTAAGTTTATTTGAATAAATGATTTTCTATTCTATTCTATTCTATTCTATAAATGTGTGAAAAAATATGCACTTCAACGATTGTTTACTAACAAAGATCTCATGCTGTTTCAGGAGAGAAGCCATACAAGTGTTCGTGGGAAGGCTGCGAGTGGCGGTTCGCCCGCTCCGATGAACTCACTCGGCACTATCGCAAGCACACGGGCGCTAAGCCGTTCCGTTGCCGCCATTGCGAGCGTTGCTTCTCGCGCTCCGACCACCTAGCGCTTCACGCGAAACGCCATGCGTAGCCCCCAATCCAACCGCCTGCTCCGAAGAAACGTAACCGCAATCGCTCGCGCAAACAGTAAGCGAGCAACGATGCGGTACGTTGCAATGGGCGCGCCTCTCATCATGTTTAATTGGTTCTGTTTATGGGTTGTTGTAAATTGTGATCTTCATGGAATTGAACGTTGTGAACGGTTCGTTTGTTCTCTTAGTGTTTCGTTAGTATGAGGCGCGCGCCCTCGGAGCGGCGCGGTGCGGGGTAGGGCCTCGCGTGATAACCAAAGATTACGCTACGCACTGTAGCTGAGTCAAAACTCACTTCACATAATGCTTTAAGGTTAATTTTTATTATTATTTTAACGGCAAAGAGCGGATAGTTTGTTTGCAATATCTTTGGCACCGGCCTTCATAGTTACAGTTCTTTGTTGCTATTAAATGACGTTTTATTATATTAACCGTTGTTTAGTATATAATGTTTTGTATGCTTCGTGTACAGAGAGTTTTTTTATGTCGTTCGGTCGCATAGCGGCCGCGCGCGAGAGTTGTGCCATTGTCCGCTAGGGCGCGGGCGCGGGCGCGGGCGCGGTAACGCATGCGACAACGTGACGCGTTGCGTCCGCGCATTGCGACGCCGTATTTTCAAAGTGACATAATTATTTATTGTTTCGCGAATGCTCGGCTTACGTTCCCACCGGCGCCGAGCACAAACTTTAATTTAGGCTTAGAACGTGCGTCGCGTTACCTGATACAGTCGATATTTCGAATTAGTTACTTGGACGTGTCGTTTGTTAGGGAACCGTTTTACGTCTGGCTTGCTGCAGTGTACCTACTTGTTGCAACATCAGATCTCATAGGACGCGTGTCGGCATTATATTAGGTAGGGTTAGACTCCAAACTTAAACTTTAGAATATTGATTAATTCTGTAGTAGGTGTTATTTAAAAAAAACTAAATAATTGATACGCATTTTGAATCTGCGTTTTCAATTCAATATAAATTAATTGTAACGTTCATTTATTTGTTAATATGTTTTCTTCGTGATCCCAAAAATCTCGTTTAATATAATTTTTTTTAGTTGGTATAAATATAATAAGAAGAATCTTAAATATTTAAATTGTTTCAAAATTGTATGCTTCATGTTTTGTGTTTTGCGGGGTGACTGTTTCGAGGTATCGACGGCAATTATGTTTATTTTTTAGTATGTTCATTAGTTAAGGTAACGATATAGATTTATTTAGATATGTAAACATTTTATGTATCTCTTTTCGAAGGCTCCTATGGTTCAGAAGTGTACGTGAAACAAGACTTGTCGATATTCGATTGAGTTTCGATCACTAGATTTGCGGAGATTTATATGTCGAATGAACATGATTAATAAAGTTATTTTATAAATTAACTGAACTTGATGATGTTTTAATGTTGTGTTAGAAGAAAGATTTAATGTTTTGTTGATGAATGATGAAAATCCTTTATATTAATAATAATTAATAAATAATAGTGTAATAAAAAACTAATAGGATTTATACTTATCGAGTTACATGTATAGTTTAAAATAAAATTGAGAGATTTTTTTAATAAACAACATGCACTATGTTCAAAAGCAAACAATCCTCTTTAATATGTTAATTAAAGTATTTTTTGTGTATATTTTTAATTAAATGCGATAAAACTCCGCAAATCGCACTCTGAGCCATAACATCTATCCCGTTACGTTACTTTAAGCTGTCTCTTGCTTTCATTCCGTACGGACTCGCTGTGCAGTGTTCAGACATTCGTATGCAATTATATTATTTAAAGATCTGCACAGACGAGTTGCGTCACCTCTGCGCACTTATACACTCTTTTTTTAAGAATAATCTTCTATCTACAGGGATTTGCTGTAGTTTTTTTTTTATTTTACAAGTGCGCATAGGTGTTAAACAAGTTGATTCTGAACACAGTCGCTATTTTTTTTTAGATGGAATTTTAAGGCATTTTGCGGCGTTTGGTATCGATCGATGCCGTGTCTGTTTATAGTGAAATTAGCCTTTTAGGGCGCTAAATACCAATCACTTTGTATTGCGAAACATGGCACGCTACAGTGTTGCTACGGAAAACCGGTTGAATTCGCAATATATGACGCGAGTTAACGTCTTAGGTACTAACATATGTTGTACCTTGAATTGCAATGGCTTCATGCAAAACACTCGTTTATTTGGCAATCGCAAATTTAGTGTTAAGACTTTCGAACCCGTCTACGATTTGCGACTCGAAGGTCCGGCTCTTAACCCTAAATTTTCGAATGAACAACTATTTTATTTTCAACTAAAAATTAATTTATAACCGTAGGTTTGCAGTGTCCTCTACACTAGCCCATATTTTCGATCAATCAACTGTATTACAAATATTCGAATAAAAGAATGTTTGGATTTTATTCTTATAAGAAATATCTTAATACTTTAATAACTTTTTATGGTGACATTCTTATCAATTTAAAATAGAGGAATGCATAATATTCGACCCATTTTAAATTTTTATTTACCAACAGAGACCTACATTACCAGCTATAATTATAGAGTTATCACACATGCACCTACGCAGTGCATTTTCAAAAAGTGTAATTTCGCAATACAGGTGAAGCTATTTAGGCATAGCGTAAACGAAACGCTCAATATAATATGTTAGCTTACATTAGTGTTATGAAGGTATATATTATTCTTGATTATTAATATAATATTGTAATAGCCACGGAAAGTTCTTTTTGGATGCCTATTTTTAACAATAAGTACAACGACTGTAAACGATCAATAATGAAATAACTGCCATAGAATATCGTGTATATTGCCATTAGGTACATTCGGACCGGATAATAGTAATACAGCTATGATATTAACTATTAACAACATTCTATCGATTTTAATACATTTTAACGGATTATAACTCAGCTTTTTTACAAAATACGATAATATTTATTTAAATTTAAATGTTCTGTTCACAATTTCGTTTATTTAACGTATTATATTTTATTGTTATATTTTTCTGTTTCATAAATGTTGCACTAAGGCGTTAATACTTTTTTGTTAAAAAAAAATATGTATGTTCTTTTTAATCATCTCTGTTTATGTACATGAAACTGGACAATTTAAAATTATAAGATTGATTGATTTAAAAATAAATTAAGACTAGCCTGTATGGGTCTAACGACAATTGCCTGACCAAAATTAAAAAAAGTAAAAAATTGTAAGAAGGGCACATAACACAAAATATCTCTATTACGCACAGTCACGCGTCACGTAGAACCACAGATAATAAAATACTTAGAAAAAAAATTTTAAACTACGACCAAGTATTTAGAAAAATATTTAGAAAAAGATTTGAATCTTTAAATTGAAAGTTTCATTTTAAATTTCGAGCTCATAAGTTAAGAGCCTGGTTAAGTTTTAAAACAACAGGATTTTCTTTATTGTACAATATCCCGAGAGGAGACGTCTCAGTATATTGTAGAATTTAAAAAAATGCGTTAAGTCTATTAATTTTGAACACATCTATTGGAAAATAATTTTGTTTTATATTTTCTTACATTTTCTAATTATTTTTTTATTAATTTGGAATGTTCTGGAAACAATTGAGAAAAATACTGAGGCCAAATATAATTCGGTCCGATTGTATGAACCTCATTAAATCTTATGACGGTTGATGTATGATGTAATACAGATAGTCTGTTTGTATGTGTTTTGGCTGTTCTTTATGAAATAAATAAAACTCCCGGGGGCCAATATCTTAGTCTTCCCGAATTTAACATAATTACGTACATCATAACGTTCTCGGGATTACAGCGTGTTTACAAATGGTTGAATTTGAATGATTCCATTAGAGAAAATATAATATAAAAAATAAATGATAAAATAGGTTACTATTAGAACATAACGTGTGAGAAAAAACGATTTAATCATAAAACGAATGGGAATTTCTATAACGTTAAAAAACTGAAATATTTTACACTCGGGATAATAAAAGTTTAATTAAATATTCGTTTAAAAGCGATTGTCGTTGGAATGCATGTTAATCCCTTATTGCACTGCCAATATTTAGAAATAGGCGTTTTTTTAACTAGTGTTTTTATCGCCGCGTTTTCTAATGTCGTGTTTTTAAAAAACCCGTTTTAAATGAATCGTTAATGACAACGAATAACGATATTAGAACAGCCGGTATCGTAAAATATCGTTAATAGTGTGGAGAATGTGGAGAATACACTTGGAGATTAGTAGTCGCTTTTAATTGTTTGTCTTTATAAAATTAAATCTTTGATTAATAATTAAATAGTGTAATGTTAAAAAAGAATAAAAACTAAAAAAACGTATGAGCTTTCAATGTTTATTATTGTGATCTTTTTAAAGTAGTTTTCGGTCATTTGTGCTTCGTGGTTATAATGAGATATTTCGAGTCAAAATTATTGACATTAATTATTATTTATGAATAAAATTCTCTTTGTATTAATAAAACGCGCATAAGCGTTGCCCGCGTTTCTGTCTATGTAGTATTTGTTTAACATATATATTTGCATAATTATAATCGACTTAGTAGATATAAAATTTAACGCATTGTAAATTCGATATAAGTAAAATACGTAAATTTAATTAATGGTAATATTGAAATTATATGTGTGTTTAAAATCGAATTTAGATTTTAAATGTTATAAACATTAGGTTTAAAATATAATACATCATCAGAGTTGTTTAAGAGATTGGTTGTAGTTAGAACGTTTAAGTTTTGATAAAAAATATTTCTGCTTTTTAATTAGTGTCTATCAATAATCTTATAATACAATAGTTATTACATTCAATGTTCGTATTCGACAGTATATAATAATATAATTCAGTGGTATATAATAGTTACATAAATATTAAGTAAGCATGCTTAAATTTCAAACTACACCATACTTCTCGTTTATGTACAACAAACACGATTCAATAATAATTTCATATTATCTATGTATGTAGTGAGAATGTATTGTTTATTATCGTATACATAAATATCTAGTGACGTGTATGTATCTAATTAAGAAATTGTGAACGTAGCGTTAAGAAATACTAAAAAATTTAATGTGATTCATAATTTATCCACGTACATTTAATATAAGGGACGGAGGAAATATGTATGGGTGTGTAACATTGTATGTGTAACATCATTTTTGCTTAAAGGCGATCGTTAGGAACATTTTAATGATATATTTATTGAATATATAACTATATAATATACTACGCACGGGGTCTGGTTTCGTAGTAAAGTAGATAACAAAATATACATGTGTATATGGTGTACTATGAATTAATTATACCTAATTATTATTGACTAGTAAATATATATAGTTACTCGTATATATAAAAATTGCGGCTGTGTAAAAAAGAATCAACCTGTGTTTAGGGTATGTAAATCAACTAAATTAGGTAGCACTATTTTTATTTCATTTCATTCACCATTTTGTTTGGCAATAAATAAAATTATTGTTCTTTATTTACTGAGCATATTTTGTAAATTATTGTGAACCTGTTGGGTATTAAATTAGTTTTTAATTATTATTTTTTACCAT